AAGGGTCTCATATCCTCTAAACCATCATTTAGATATGGCCATATCACAATAGACCATACTTTTTGACAGGGTTGCTTAACAATACATAATCCATTTAGGTAGGATTGCCTTATAATAGACTATTCTTTCAAGCAGGGGTCACCTCATAATAAGATCCTTATTTAAACATAAAACTAAAAAAAAATCAACAATTAATTCTCATTTTCGAGCGGGGTTTCCTAACCCATTTCATCATTTTATATAGGGTTGCCTAGCGTTCATTTCATTTAGTTTTTAGGAAAAGCCACCCTTAACAATAAGGCCATTGTATTTTACTTTTTCATGTCAAGCCACCCTTGACAATAAGGTTTTTTCATTTTATTTTTTATAACAGGTCATCCTTGATAATAAGGTCACCGCATTTTTCTTTTCGGGACAGTGCCATCCTTGACAATAAAAACATTGTATTTCACTTTTTGGGTATGTCACCATTAATAGCAAGGCCAATGCATTTTACTTTTCACGAAAGGTCACCTTTGCCAATAAGACCATTGCATTTTACTTTTTAGGAGCAGGCCACCTTTGACAAAAAGGTTATTGCACTTTACATTTTAGGACATGTCATCCTTGATAGCAAGGCCATTGTATTATTATTTTTTAAGGCATGCTACCCTCGACGACAAAGTCATCATATTTTACTTTGTAAGACCGACCACCTTTTAAAAAAAGACCATCGTATTTTACGTTTTAGGGCGAGGCCACCCTTGAGAATAAGATCATTGCATTTTTACCTTTTAGGATAGGCCGCCATTGACAAGAAGACCATAGCATTTTACTTTTCAAGGTAGGACACCATTGACAACAAGACCATCATGTTTTTATTTTTTAGGGAAGGCCATCTTTGATAACAAGGCTTTTATATTTTACTTCGGACAGAGTTGCTCTTAATGATAAGGCCATGACATTTTAATTTTCAAGCCAAGCCATCATTAAGAACAAGGTCATGGCATTTTAAATTTAGGGCGAGGCCACCTTCGAGAAAAAAGCCATAGCATTTTACTTTTCAGGACAAGTCACCCTTGATAACAAGGGCATTGCTTTTTTATTTTTCAAGGTAGACTACTCTTGATAACAAGACCATCACATTTTACTTTTTAGGAAAGGCCGCCCTTGACAATAAGACCATCATATTTTTCTTTTCGTGGCAAGCCACTCTTCACAACAAAGCCATCATATTTTACTTTTAAGGGTATGTACTCCTTCACAACAAGACTATCGCATTTTATTTTACCTTCAAGCTTGATCACCCATGGCAACTGGACTCATCGTTTTTGTTTTAAGGGAAGGCTATATATATATATATATATATATTTACAAGCTTATTATGCAAAGTCATTGAAAAATATCCTTTTCATTTGACTTTTATTTTTCAATGACTTTGCACCATAAGCATTATAAAGAGTAGGCAATTGTCATAATCTATTTTTAATCGCTCCCTCGATTTATTTTCATATGTATATAAAAAATAAAATAAAATTAGAATGCTGCATAGTTTTATTTTTTTTCATGGTTTTTAGGAATTTTTATAAATTTTTAGGATTTTAATTTCTTTTAATTATTCTCCCTTCTAATTAAAAAAGAAAGAAAAGAAAAAAGAAAAAATAGAAGAAAAGAATGAAAAAAAAAAAGAGAAGATGATTTCGAATCCAATTGAAAATGATATGAAAAGGAAGGACTATGATTTGAACTTTTCTTCTCACGTTCTTTGTAACTATAAGTAGGATATATGAATTAAAAATTTCTCACTTTAACATCTGCAAAGCATACTCTACTTCTGAATTCTAATTCTGAATTTTGATTGATGGAGGAACTTAATGTTTTCTACAATGGCAAAATTGAGGAAAAACATTAAATCTTGATGAAAACGGCCTAGCTACACAATTACACTCACAATCCTAAAAATATTAATCATAGGAATGTGATTGTTTATTATTATTATTTTTTTTAGCAAATTACTTTAAACATCCTGTAATTTGAGCATGGAAACACTTTGCATCGTATATTTTTATAAATTGCATTTTATATCCTAAACACTTGAATGTTATTTTAAATAACACCATATATTTTGATTATGTTAATAGAACAAGTTTTTGACAAAGTTTTTTTTTTTTTTTTCAAATTTTATAGATTTGCCATTAAGCTTTTACAATAACCATAATGAGCTTTAGAAGCATTTATGGCTTACAAACCAAAACTTTAGTTTTAGTTACATTTCACTCTAATAATCCTTTTAATTTGAGGCAAGTGAAACTAAAAAATAGTCTCATTTCTCTTCGTACAATATAAAAATAGAGCAATATCTAATGTATTAAAATGAAAACTTTATGATGGTGTACTAAGAGGGAACGGGGAAAAGACAATTTGAGATTAACAATAAAGGTTCATACATGCACATCTCATAGAAGTATTTTTTTCCCCCTTTCTCTCCATTTTTGTTTAAAGACATTTACGTAAATCATCATCCTTGAACTGTAGAAAGTGGAATTTTCAAGAATGGATAGTAACGATGCACAACAGCACAAGCACATTGATATATTAAGTTGTGGAGACCAATTTGAATATTATAACTCATAATTTAGTAAGTTATGAAAAATTAGTACGATGGAACTCTTGAAATATCTGTTGAATATTATAATATTTGTACAGGCCTATAAAGTTCTTTTTAATAATTTTATTCGCCAACACTATAAACATGGACAATATCTCTTGTATTTATAATTGATTGAAAAAACTAATAAGAACTTTTAATATAGCCATGGAATTAGTACAATTGTCGAACTATATAAATCTTTATATTGTATGATTGTTCTTGTCTTTATATTGTATTTCCTTGTTTGATTTAGTTTCTAACATGATAGTCCTTCTAGTCTTATTCCAAACACTTTGATGGTGACCAACAATCCAGGGGCATGATAAGTGAGCTTTAATAGCGATCAGAAAAAACTCAACCACAAAAAAGAAAGGCTTAGTTAGGTCATGTTCCAAAAATATTTTAAGATTATTAGATGAGGTTCTCCATGTTAAAATAATGTACTAGAAGGGAAAACTCTGTACTTTCTCGGTTATGAGTATGCAAATCTCATTCACTAAACACAACTAAGCAAATTTTACGGTCATGAGAAAAATCAAAGAACACTTTGAATGCCACCACTTTCTAACAACCACGATTAATAATATATTTAATGGTGAACATGTCGTTGAGTCATTCTTTAATTTGAACCAACAATAACACTATAAAATTTTAATTGCGAACTAATTTACTTTTAAAAACCCAAAACATTATACATCCAATAAATTATAGTTTCTCTATGAGAATTCCATAAATCATCTAAAAACACCTAATCTGTTAGGAAAGCTGTTCGAAACTGTCAATAACAATATAAACAATTAATTTTAAATTAAAAATAAATATTAAAGTTTTTTTTTAGAAATTTCAAAATACAGATTAAAAAAAATAAAAAACACAACATTTTTGGTTGGGGGGGGGGGGGTTGCTTGATATTCAACAAACATAAGTTAATCTGAATATTTTATGCATTACTGTCATTTTTGTTTTAAAATTTCAAATATTAGGGTTAGAATTTCATATACCTCTAGTTCAGCTTTGATTCTTATTCAAATCAGTTCCAAGTGATAACAACAACCTTCAATTAATCAAAAATCAAAGAAGACTATCTTTTGTTACAATTTTTCATAGCTTTCTCTCTTTGAGGCTCATTTATAAATACGAGGGTATTTTAGTTTTTATATCCTATCTTTGCCTGAAAATTCATTGTCAAATATTTAGAATGTGAAGTGCAATTTACTAAAATATAGAGTACAAAGTGTTTTCATGCTTAAACACAACGGGTTTAAAGTAATTTATTTATTTTATTATTATTATTAATTCTAGGACAAAAGGTATTTTTGACTAATTTGTATATCAATTGAGACTTTTTTCTTATGGATAATATTAAGGGCATACCTCCATGTCAATTTGTTACATTCAAAAAATATATATATTCTAATTAAATACTAGTCCCATATTTGGAATTAAATTTTTTTTTAAAAAGGAAACAATCTCCTTAACTACAAGACCACCGCTTTGAAGTTTCTTTTTAAATTAGTTAAACATTTATATGTATACCACTTCATTATTGCTGAGTTACATCCATGCTAAGTATGCAAAGAATACAACAAATGCTAAGTACGTAGGTGCTGTTTGATGAAGGATTAACAATTGAATGGTTGATATTTAAGAAATTTGTTTTCTCAAGTATTGTCTATTTATACTTAGATGATTCAGAACTGAAATATTTTATAATTGAAACTATTCTAGAAGACTTCAAGGATTTTATAGTTTAAATTTTTCCTACTCTTTGTAAAGGATTTGAAAATCCTATTCTGTTTAGGATGTTTATTTTATTATCTGATCTGACTATTAACATGGTCTTATTTCATATTTTTTTCTAGCTGGAGACTGACTCCGAAATCGGTTGGTTTTCCTTGCATTAGAAAATATCGTTTTCAATGTATCGGATTAGTAGCATAGTATATTTAAACTTCATTTGTTTAACAAATGTATCTAATTGAATCTTATAAATTCAAACAGATTTTAATATTCATTGATTTTTAAAAAATAATTGATAAAAGTTAAATGAGGTACTTGTAATTAATATATAGCCTTTGTCCTAGTTAGGAGATATGTTGGAATGCTACGCTTTCTCCCGTGTGAAAACCTTAGAAAGACTGTAGGTTAGGAGATGAGAAGAGATTATATCAGAAAATAAACATTGCAAATACTGGTCAGACCACCAGCAATATGATCAGAAGAGAGATTAAGAAAATATAACATTATAAATGAGGAGAGATTATATCATAAACTGTTGTTATGACAATTTAAGGATCCAATGGACCTTTCTCATTAATTGGTAATCCATAAATTATCTCCATTTATTTAGTATTGCAGTGAGAAACCTCACTTAATTATTTTTGGTAGAAGCAGGGAGAATAACTTTAGCCCTTCTAAATACAAAAGGAAATGCAGGATCATCCAACACCAACAATCTCTTTCCATTCTCCTTAACAATACCAGCAGAAACACACCTTGAGCTAGGACGGCAGTCTGCACCAGGAAAACGGATGGTACAATTCTGGCACCAGGCCAAAGTATAGAGATCTTGTTCATTCTTGACAATATTAAAGTACCAAACTCTAGGTCTGGGTTGTCTGAACTTTCCTCCAGTCGCAATATATCTCTTTCTTGTCTCTGGATTCTCCACTACCTCCCATGCAGAAGAATCTGCGCACGTCGTGGCTCCTGAAAATGCAATAGTAAAGTCCCTAGACTCCCTTATAATAGTATCTGCAAAACGGGGTCTGAAAATAACAGGAGTGCCTTGAGACACATTTGGTGCAAGTGGTTCTTGGCCGACATAAAATGGAAATGAACCATTACAAATACTGGTCAGACCACCAGCAATATCAGTTTCAGCTGGAAGTATATAGTATTCCACACCACTTCTAAGAGGTTTTCCTTCAACATCAAGCACAGGAGACAAGGGTTGAGCCCATGTGGATATGGCCATTAGTAGCCAAATGAAGCTGAAGCTTCCAATCAACCTCAACATGTCTGCAAGCTATCTCACACAGCGAAAACAAAGCAGTAATTGTGCAAGATTGGGTTGTCTTTCTATGCATCTTTAGGCTCGGATTTGGAACCTATTTATAGTACAGAAAAGGGGCCGAAGTACCACATTTCAATAAGATCGGTACCAAAAAAAAAAAAAAAAAAAAGAAGAAGAAGAAAGAAAGAAACAAAATCCCAGTGGTAATTATCATTTGTCATGTGTCACATTATCCAATTGAGTGCAGATTACTTTCTTAGTAATATTTCAACACTAATGGGATTAGTACTATACATTGAAATACACAAGAACATGTCACGTGTGGCTATTCGATCATAGTTCTCTCTCTAGTGAATAGAGCAGGCTTGAAAAAAGCTTTCTTCCCCATACCTTGATCTTCACATGGGCCTAGCAAAGAGATTGATATCCTATCATGATTTTTAACATAACCATGTATTTATTAAATCTAAATTAATAAATTCAAATTTGATGATTATGATTTAATATATGATAAAAATAAAAAACAATTTAAATCTGTTATTTCTCTCAACTAATCTGAATCATTGATTTCACATCAACGATGAGATTTGAAAATGACCAGGCATGTTCTCATAAGGACATAAGAGCATTCAAATCCTTCGCCAAATGAAGCTGAAGCTTCCAATCAACCTCAACATGGCTGCAAGCTATCTCACACAGCAAAAACAAAGCAATAAATTATGCAAAATTTGGTTGTCTTTCTATGAATCTTTAGGCTCGGATTTGGAACCTATTTATAGTGCAGAAAAGGGGCCGAAGTTCCACACTTCAATAAGATCGGTATATCAGGGCCAAGAAAAAGAAAAAAACAAAAAGAGAAAGAAAATAAATCCCATTGGTAATTATCATTTTCCATGTGTCACTTTATTCAATCGAGTGCAGATTACTTTCTTTGTGAGGGTAATATTTCAGCACTAATAGGATTAGCAGTGTGCCTCCTTTTTGTTAGCGTGGACTATTGAGATACACAAGGACATGTCCCATGTGGCTGTTCGATCATAGTTTTTTCTCTAGCGAATAGGGCAGGCTTGAGAAAAATTTTCTTTCCCATACTTTGATCTTCATATGGGCCTAGCAAAGAGATTGAGATCCTACCATTATTTTTAACACAACCATGTATTTATTAAATCTAAGTTAATAAATTCAAATTAAATCATTATGATTTAATATATGATAAAAAGAAAAGCAATTTAAATCTATATATTTCTGTCACCTAAACTGAATCATTAATTTCAAAGCAACGATGAGATTTGAAAATGATCAAGCATGTTCTCTTAAGAACAAAAGAGAATTCAAATCCTTAACAAAACTAGATAACCATATGGCATGTAAATTTAAATAAAGGACATCATTTATTACTAAAATAATTAGCTCATATCGAATAAATAAAAAATAGATTACTAATAAATAAAGATGAGAGAGGAGAACATGTAACTCAATATAAGATTTAACCATTTAAAATAAAATTCATACTCAATTATATAATAAATTTGGTATTAGAGTTTAAAAAGATTTAAGGGGTAAAAATCTAAGAATTTAAGTTGCTTGATAGATAGTAAAAAATGGAATGCAAGTAAAAAAAGAAAAAGTATTAAAAACCTATCTCACATCAAATAAATAAATAATAATTAAATAATATATAAAATTGAGAACTAAGAATGTACCACTACCCACTATACAACTTAAAAACTAAAGTATTTTGATAAACCATACTCAACTATAAAATTTAATACTAATTAATTATTTAATACAAAAGATTTATTTATTTGTTACATCCAAATTTTGGACTACCAAACTAGATAATCATCTTTCTCTTTTAATTCCAACCTTTCTTTTACCATGTACACAAATCTATGAAGTAGCTGTAAACAGTGTAAACCATATCATATCTTTTTGTTGGGAAAATTTAAAGGACTCGGGTGCCATTTGATAATCGGGAATAGAGTGATGGAAATAAGAATGTAGAAATTGAAATAAAAATTAAGGAATCGAAATGATATTTGTATTTTCACACTCGTGTTTAGAATACTAATGAGAAATCGAAATGCAATTTAAATTTTTTAATATCTGATTTTTTATACAAATAAAAATAATAATTAAAAAAATAATTTTATCAAACTATAATGGTTGTAAAAATAATAAAGGTGAAGGTGAAGGTGATGGTGATGGTGATGGTGGTTATGATATTGGTGGTTACGGTGGTGGTGGTGGTAGTAAAAATAGTTAATAGACAATAAATAAATAAAATATATTATTATTTTGAAAAAAAAATTCATTCTCATTCTTTGTTTTTATTCTCACATCTTATATGGGAATGAAATTGTGTGTAAATTTTCATTTCCATTCCCACTTTATTCCTTTTAACCAAACAACTACAACATTGGAATAAAATTTTCATTCCTATTTTCACCACTCTATTCCTAATTACCAAACAACACATCAAGGTTTACATTAAAATATTCTTATAGAGAGTTAATAAAAAAGGAATGGGAAATTAATATGATGAGTAGTAACTAGGTCTCTTAATTTTCCGCATAAGACCTTTTTTATTTTTTTTTCAAAATGCTCTCCGATGTACAATCGGATGCATATTTCTAAAAGAATTCATCTCATTTTATTTATATCACATCTCTTATTCTATATAAACCAAAATGTGTTGTAGACTTGAGTTAAGACAAGGTTTTTAACCCAACTCACATGATCATATGACTAATAATAATAATAATAATAAAAGCTACCGTAAAATATAGCCTAGTTGTACTAGATAACCTTTATTTGGTTAAAACTACATCATAACATTTTTTTTTCTTTGAGAAACCATATCATAGGCTTATTTTCATAACAACTTAGGGAATGATGACATTTTGAACGTAATTAATGTAGTTTTCTAAAGTTTGAAAAGAATACATTAATAGTTTTGGTCCACTATTGAAGGATAATTAGCCATAATTGTTCATTAGGGATACATATTTGAGTTTATTTGATCTAAGAGAAAGTTTAGTGGTCAACCAAAAATTAAGTGTGTTTTAATGCTAACATAACCTAAAAAGTGATGAACTTAGTTTCGATTGATGAAAAACTAGTCCAAAAATACCTCACTATCTTTAAATATATATATATATATACATTAATAGTTTTTCATAGGTTTTTTTAGAGATGAGAAAGACGAACAATTTTTTAAAAAAGTGTAGTATATTTATTGATCTTCCTCAAAACATGGTATTAGAGTTGATCATTTGTTTCCTTGTTAGTTTTTTGCACTACAAAAAATCTACCAATTAGCGATGGATAATTCCATTGGTAATTGTCACAAATCCATTGCAATAGTAAATTAGTGACGAACTTGCTACGAAAAAAATTTCGTTGGCAAAACAAGTGTCACTAACCCTTGTGATGGATTTAAAAATTGTCATTAATTTAGCAATTGATTTTGCATCGCTAAATAATATTACCCGTCACTAATTGACAACACGAGCACCGTAATAAGCATCGCCAATCTATTGCAAAATCTGTCACTAATTAACCACCAAAGAACTGTCTCTAGATTTTAAAGCTAATATCCATCGTTAATCTGTCTCTGTTTTGATTGCTAATCAAAAATTAGTTTGTGACAATTGTTTTTCATCATTGTTTATTTTTTTTCAATTTTTTTTTCAAATTTGTCACTAATTCATAGGTATTAAGTCATAATTCCATCGTAATTTTGTTGGAAGTTCCATCGCAAATATAATTTTTTTAATTTGTTAAAATTTTTAAAAATTAGATATTCTTATTAATAACTCATAATTAAAGCAAACAACTAATTATAAAGATTGATTTTTTTATTAAAATTAAAATAAACTTTATAGTTTTAAAAATATTCATTACTACTTAAGAAAAAGATTAAAAACATATAAAAAAATAAATATCACTACATATCATTTAATCCCCTCTCATCTTGCTAGAGCTCGGTATGAGGGATGGTTGAATCTTGAAACTCGCTAGGAGGGACGTGTTGTCTTGACGCTTGGTGGGAGAGATGATGGTGCCCGGGGGTTCGCCGGGAGGGAGTGTTGAGTCATCGCTTAGGGAGGGGTCGGTAGGAAAAGAGTCGGTTTTTTCATTCTCTCTAACGTCAATGAAATTGAATCAATCATAGCATGTATCTCCTAGATCTTTTCTCGCTGCTGCATGATAATGTTTTTCTACTCCTATACTTTCTACTACAATGCCTTAATCATCTCTTCATATCGAGTTAGAGGTTGTTCAACGAGCATTGGAGTTGTGAAACCATGATACTATAGAGAAGTAGCTGGTGCTAACTAATTGGGATAAATATTGGTTTACCTCCGATTGGATCCCGTAAAGCCTATTCTTCTTCTACCTTTCTAAAACATCAAAGTATATAGCATATGTATCAACCTATGACTCCTCAATTGCAACCTCTTGCTCGCTTCCTTACTGATTCTTGTATCACCTCCTCCATATGCTCCTACATAATTAAAATGATTATAACATTAATAAAAAAAATTAAAATAAGTTCTTAGATTATATTTGTATATGTATAATATAAAAATGAAAATAAATTTTCCATTGTAGGTCGAGCTCTTAAATCGATGAAATTCTCATCTCTCTACTTGTGAGTGACCCTCAACCACTCTAAATTTGTAAGCCGATGGTCCAATTTTGTAGCCTAAAAAAATTAACACAAAAAATATATGAGATGTCAATATTAATTTCTTAAATATTTAATAATATATGATAGGATTTACCAAGTGGTGAGCATGCCTAGAAGCGGATATATATTCTCCTATATGCCCGGATAGTCTCGATGCCTATTAGGTATGCGATTGACAATCGAGTGTGAAAAAATCTTGCTTTCATGAATCCCACACCTCCCGCGTAAAAAAAAAAAAAATGCCTTTGGTCATGCATACCTGTAA